AAGGCATTTTATTTACAAACGTTAATATTATTTAGAGACGTGATAATAACTGCTGGCCTTCTTCTGCACTTGCTTTTTGCCTCTTGCATTCTCGTTTTACCTTTCCACAAATAAAGAATGCAGCGGGCTGCCTTTTCTCTTGTTTCTCTCGCAGAAGCTGAGGGGGCAGCAGCACGACTTGGCGACACAAACACCGAACATCAGCAACCAAGACAAAGTTTTGTATACTTTTTTATTGCTTCGTATAACCTCTTTAATTCCTTTCGTGGCTCAGGTGTGCTGAAAACCCAAACAAACCGTTGAGCCGTTGCATTGGGGCTCTGCTGACATCCCCTTTTTTCTTGTTTTCTCTTTTGCGATCAGCACAACACTCTCGACTCCTGTACACCGCCAATTCGTACCAATAGGAAAAACACGGCAAAACATCCGCAAAGGGCCAGTGCATCATAACAGATTGTTTCAGCGATTCCTCTCAGTAACATAGTAGGAGCAACAACACGACCACAGCAACGGCAATACAACAGCAGCAGAAGCATCATTGGAACTCCTAGAACCAAAAGCACCACAGCAGCAACACAACAGCAGAAGCACCAGCAAAAGGCACGAAACTGTCTCATGAGGCGCCAAACGCATGAGTGCCCTTAGAGACGGACGAGCAGGAGATACATGACCGTTGGCCCTTCCAGTTGCCTCCATTAAGTAGAAATAAATGAAGAAGGACTCTTTGCAACTTTCGTTGGCAGGCACGTTCAACTGCAGCAGCATTGGTAGTAGTAGTGACGGCGACAGCAGCAGTAGGCGGGGGCGGCGAGCAGTAGGCGGGCGACGGTGATTGCCCCACATGAAGCCCATTAACTTGGCATTTCCCTTGCACTCTGTGGCATCACTGTGACCAGCTCTGTCGGGTCAGCGGCTGCTCCTACCAGAACAACTGCAAACTATTGTGTAGCCACATCTAGGGGAACGTGGACACCTCTGTATGGTGATGATGGCGCGTGCAGCAGACTTGGCAAGGCATCGCCAAACGCATGGGGAAGACACCCTGCACATGCTGATGCAATACCCTACTTTACCGCATAGTACATAACAGCCCATGACGAAGTGTATCATCCCACAACAGAGCACGCAGAGCCTGCAAAACCTCATGTTCCGCTGCTACGTATGCCCGCGCAGCTGTCGTTTCTCTCACGATGATCATGCCCCATAAACTGCCATGGAGTAAATTGCTTCTCAGAGGCAAGTAAGTGTGGAATTGTTCAATCGGCAAACGCAAGGTGCCAGTTCTTGTAGAACCCAGTATGCGCGCGACCTGGAAATGCAACAGAACCCAACCGAGAAAATCTCTGCTATTGTTTGTGTCGTTTACAGATTTAGTGGGAAAAAAGCAAAACCGACCTCCAAAGAGGTGGAAGTGAAACCGTAAATCCCATTTGAAAGGTATTGCAGTTCGTTTTAGTCTCATATCCGAACGTGGAGAATGCTTCTCTGCTGCAAACCTGCATGCATACTTCTACCCCAACGTTGGTGCAGGCTGCAAATTTAGTGGAACACAACACACGCTGACTTCCAAGGAGATGAGCATGACTTCCAAAGTTTAATTCTTAGGGCACTGCCGTGCGCCATAGTCTCAGCTCCAAACGCGGAGGCGTATGCTTGAAGCGTATGCTTGCCGGCTGCAAATACGTATATGAATGCCTTTCCCATCAGTACCTTTCCAAAGGGAATTTTCCGTCAGCGTCGCATCACTTATTGAATCTGCACGGGTTAGCTGTTTCGCATCGCGACATAGAGCTCGTCGAAATTCGTCCCCTCCAGTCGGTAATAATGCTGCGACAGATGCAGAGTACTTGCAAACTGAACACAGAGCCAAGTTATCCCCTTTCACTTTTGTCAAAGCACAGCTTTTGCCCCGCGTATGATAAGGCATTGAGGTGCTTCTCACCTCGGTCTCAGCAGACCCCCCAGAGACCCTAGAAAACAGAACAAGCAATGCTCCCGTTTCGGGATGCATCCAGCATCATACAATGTATGATTTCGACGGTGTCTTTCATGCAACCAAGGCTACCATACTCTTTGGATAAAAAAGAGAGATATCTTAAGATATCTCTCTTTTTTATCCAAAGGGTATGGTGGACAATAACCCCCTAGAAAACCAGTACGTTCGCCGGTATAAACAGCGAAGAGGGACGGGAGCTGAGGAAGCAAAGCATCTCCATGATATCATTAAACGGAGTCCGTTCAACCATTGTACAAGCATTGCTTTTGCAGTCAAGCATGCACAACCACACTGTGCATTTAGAAATGCGAAATGGCCCTCGAAACATGCAGCTGATGGTTTGCGCTGGCTGGGGCTATGGTTGATGACGCTTGGCCATCACCTAATAGCTGCTAAACTTCTCATACCATAACAACACAAATCGACGAGCAGGAAACGTTTAACGCTGACCCAGGGAAACGCCAGCAGATGGAGTTGTAAAATACTTCGCATGCCTGTATTTCATGTTTGGATGATATATAGATGACCAGGCGCTGTTGGACGACGCCAAGAATATACTGCAAGCATTATGTGTACGATTGTACTCGGTTTTATTATGCTTGCTGGCCAGACAGAAATCTCAGACGCATGGACGCAGGCGCCTAAAACCTCGAAGATTCTTTGAGTTCCCTACAATGAATCTGCCATGCTTAAGAAAGCAACTAAACAATCTAACACAACGATCGCGAAAATATGGAAATGGCAAAGCAAAAGGGGTAGAGAGACGAAACCCACTATGAGTGGCATGCACCGGCCACCCTCTTGCGAATGAATAGCGCGCAGGTATTTATATACACTTGCAGGCACCTCATGCTTGCCAAGGTTAAGGGAACGCTTCCCCGTTTCCAAACCGCACTCGTACGAGCAGCGCAGGCTAAACACAACTCAAGTCCAACAACACGCTTTTCTAAATGCAATTACTCTAGTAATGCACACGACTGGACAGGAAATTACCAAGGAGTCTGTTGCCAGAATCCTCGGTAATTCCCGGTCCAATCGGGCGTATTATTAGAGCCTTCCAATCGCTACTCTGTAAGTGCAGGCTGTGCATACCCATCATTCCAATTACACCGCGTATATATATATATATATATATATATATATATATATGATTCCATCGCGTTTGTTGTGTTTGCTGCGGCATCCGAAATGACAGTCGTAGCGTCAACACTTCCCGGTTGTTTCGTAGGTGTGCACAACACTGAAACCAAGCGAGAACCGTTTTTCTTACCCACAAAACCATATGAATGCCCAATGCAAAGTGTGAAAACCGCAGGTGACGCGAAAGGCATATTGAGGAGCGGTTGGTTAACGCAGAACGTTAGAGCGCACTCAATCAAAATACGAGTAAATCCGCAACATCAGGGACTGCTGCGCCACCCTTAATGTCCATGTTTGGCGCAAACAAAAACAAGGCGCAATCACTGGGGCAACTGCAACAGCAGTGGCAGCTACTGAGGCAGCAGGTGAAGACTGCATATAGCGGCCGATTTCCGGCAATTGCGCCACACAGTGATCATTACGCTGGACTTGTTTGTACGCACCTGGATCCTTCGGTTCCCATCTCTACTGGATTAGCTACTGCATCCCACAGCTGCACCCCACAGAAGAGCAGCACCTCACGATGATGCAGCATCTACTGAGGCTACTCTTGCCACTTACATGCAAGGAACGGCATTGCCATGCACCAGCATGTACAGACTACTTTGTTATTGCTGCTGCTGCCCTTGTCTTTGCTGCTACTGGTGCTGCGTTCTGTAAGAGGGTTCAGCACCTGCTTGCCCATACCAAAAGTGGGCCTTCAGCTTGTTGCGAAATGCCGGTGTGGAGCCAGCAACGCCGATCTGGTGCTGCTGTTTCTTCGGCTGCTGCTGCCGCTATGCGTTCTGCTACCGGTGCTATGCCCCCTGCTGCTCCTGAGATGGCCACTGCATTTGCTTTAGCTTCCTTTCCGCCACAGTACTGCCTGCTGCTGCTGGTGCTGCCGATGCTTGCGCTACCACAGCGGGTGCATTCACATTTCTTCAAAACAAACAACACCGCAACTAAGCATTCCGCTTCTGCATATCTACAAGGATTTTCACATAGCTGGTGCTTCTTCGCCTGTGGCCTTTCTTGGTGCTTGTGCTGCAGATGAAGCAGCCCTTGAAAACGCTGCTGAAACCACCTTGAATTCGGGCTCAAACTGCTGCGTGGGGCGAAGACGCATGCCATGGCGGTCTCGCTGGTTCCACAGGAAATACACGGCCTCTGTTGCAGCAGATGCTGCATTCCCAGACTTCGCTGCTGTTCCTGAAGCTTCTCTTGGTGGTGCCGTTGCTGTTGTTGCTATTGCTGGCATTGCTGCAGCTGTCTATTTGTGTATGTGTGTGTGTGTGTGTGCGTATATATACGCGAATACGTACGTGGGACATCCATATCTGTGCATGCAAATAACCTCCTACGGCGTTTAACTTTGGCGTCTGACGACGGCTGAATCTCGCAGTTCTTTGGCTGTCCGCTAGCCGTGAAAATGGAAAACCCAGTAGATACAGCACGTATGCATTCAAGCATGCATACATGTATTCAAAGGCGTGGATGCATGCAAACGCGCAGGAACAATTTACACGAAGAAGCGGAGAGTGGCCAAACTCGTTTGAGCCCCACGCTGTGTCCTGCGGTGTCTAACGGTGTTCGCCTCTGGGGCTGCATGCATGCGAGCCCCGCTAAAGTCCGTCAAAAGAAGGCGTAAGCGCCGAAATCTAAAGTGCCTATGCCTAGTCCTAGTGGCGCTTCTGAACCCTCAACCACGAAATCACAATAGGGTCATCCCGAAGCTCTAACTTACGATTTTCAGTAAGCTGCCTCTGAGCAGCCCACTGAAAATCGTAAGTTCCGGGTCTGGAGACCCTTAGGGGACAGCGACGACCTTTACTAGAAAAGACAAGCCGCAGATAGGGACTAAGCAAAAGGCAGTGAGAGGCCATCAGGGTCCTCCTACATTACTTCGTTCTGTCCATATTGACACAGACGGAGACGGGGCAGCAAGCGGGTCACCGGGCGCTGAAGCAGCGAGGCCCTCCGGCTCCAGCTGCGGGCTTCCTGGCACTGGTGGGTATGGGGTCCCCTCCAGTTCTGCGGTGCTATCGCGCTGTTGAAGCCCCCCTTGGGGGGCCCTTTTGGCACCCTGTTCAGGGCCCCCGTGGGGGTGTGTTGAGGGAGCTGGGGGGCCAGTGGGCCTGTCAGGGCCGGCGCCATCGTGAGAGGGCCCTGGGGGATCTATGGAATTGGCTGGGAGTGGCACTGCCTGCGACGAGCTACGTTTTAAGTCTGCAGCTGTTAGGATGTGGGGCGAAGGCTCCCAGCTATTTGTGCGGGCGGGATCGGGAAGACCGGAAGTGCTGCTTTCAAGCAGAGAGGACTGGGGGTCTGCGCCTCCGTCGCCGGTAACAACTACGGTGTAGTCGCGCCCCAAAGACAGCACAGATACCTTCTCGTGCAGCATGGAGTATATTAAACGGGGCTGCATGCAGGCCAAACAAACGCACGCAAGGATGACAGCATGCACACTGGGGCGCCCCACATTGTTAAAGGCATCCGGGACAAAGACAAACACAAATGTGGGGACCCTCAAGGCCTGCCCAAACCGACTATACAAACAATAGGGGCTCCTATCGGCTGCTACAGCCCCTAAAGGACCTCAACGAAACAGTCGAGCAGCCGTGAGTTACTAGAACCACAAGCAAGATAGCGAAAGAGAGAACTGCGGAGACAGCTGAAGAGACTGGGCACTGTGTGATCATACACGCCAACAGAGGCAGCCGGACATCCGAAGATAAAAAGGAAGAGACATCACACGGCAAGATACATGAGGCACGCACGCAGAAAGAAAACCCTACAGCGCGACGAAAGAGGCGAAGTAGGCACTGAAGGGACACTCAGCAGACACTGGAGAGCCATTACAGGAACACAGAGAACTAAAGAGAAAGAAAAAACAGCCTCCAGCCACTGCAAAGACACTCAAATGACGCTCTACGAGCCATCGTGGCTCCCTACCCTGCAGCAAGCGCTCTTAAGCCCAGAACGAAGGGCAACCCCCGGCTGTGTCTCCCCTCCCACGATGCATTCGGTAGCAGCAGTGAAAATCAGTTTGTGTTCCGCCGAGTGTCCCCACAAATAAAGCTGGTGGTTTGCTGCTCGCCCAAATAAATACACACGCCCCACACCCTCAACAATGAACCTCAAAGCATACGAAAGCGCACACCATGTAACCACGAGCTCCAATACGTTTATGCATTCTTATCCCCCATGTCCAACGGCCAAAACCAGATACACCCCAAACCCCACAAACCGGCTACGATCCCCCTGATGCGTCTAGAGGGCCCCTGCAAAAAGCCAAAGGGACCCCAACAGGGCAGGTTTAGATGGGGCCCTGTATGGCTACAAAGGACTCCATCTCACAGGAATGAGCTTAGAAGAATCCACTGGGGGCTCCAGCGGAAGGGGTTCCGGGGAGACCCTTGCTCCTGTAGGGCACGCAGGGCCGTCTAGCTATTGCTGTTTGTCTCTGTTGCTACTTACGGGTGATGCATCCTGAGTGTCTATGTCCACAAGAGACCCTCGCGACCCGCGACTTCATCTCCCCCACCTTGACAAGCTGCCGCAGCAAGCAACACACCAACCGACGCTAATGCAACCCACGTATCCCCGTTGTAGTGGCAGCAGCAGCAGCCGCAGCCGTAGCAGCAAGGGCAGCAGCAGCAGCAAGGGCGGCAGACGCTGCCGCCGTTGTAGCAGCAGGTATCTCTGTTTGTGTGCATATGTCTCTCGCAAAGTGTTTCCCTGCATGCATGCGTCTATATATATATATATATATATCCCTGCTGGAGCATGCGTGCCTTTGCTAGTGGTCGTCGTGGTGTGTCCTGCCTCCTGTATGTTGTCTCCTCTCCCCTGGGCTGCTGCTTACCTTGGGTGCAACGCAGCGCGCCTGGTGGCTGGGGAGCCCGCACTGCCCCGCGATGTTGTCTCCAAAGGCCCATAGACGGAGATCTTGTGCAAGCAGCAGCACATGCCGGGCCCCTGCAGCAATGGCTACAATGGGGGGAAGCGGCTGCCCGCTGGAGTCCTTAAGCGTCAAGACACTGAAGGACGAAGCGCCCACATCAAAGGCATTTCCCGCTGCCAGCCAGCAACACAAACGAACACATACATTATAATTATAACCCCAACTCAGAGCAAAATACACACCAGTGCAACGCTCTAAGTCTTCCTGCCAGCCAGGTGTACGTACACCCCAAAACTGTAGGGACTAGTAAAGCATACCCATCTCTCCGTATGTGCCATCTCCCCAAGCCAACACTTGCCCTTTCTCTGAGAGGGACGCACACACAGAGGAGGAGACAAACGCATGATGCAGCAAAAGGGGACAGGAGACAGCACCAAAGGGCCACACAGCCCCACCAAGCAGCGCATGCTAGCGGCAGCACAAGTTGCCTACACACCACAGACCGGCCCTGGCCTGTCCTTGTGTCGCTGATGTCTGTCTCTTTGTTTGCCCCTGCCCTTTTTGTCAACCGCTCTGTTCATATAAGTGGCTATCTCCAGAACAAGGGCCAAACGAAAAGCACCGCGAAGGGAAGACAGACGAAGATTAAGAGATATCAGGGAAAACAAGGAGACACCATGCGAAAACAAAAGGAGACAACATACAATACGAAGAGACAGCAGCTACAATAAGGAGACAGCAGCTACAACACGGTGGCAGAGGCTACCGCAAGGAGACCGCAGGCGAAGACTCGGAGACAGAAGGTCAGGGCTTGAAGGCAGGAAATGAAGATTCGGAGACAGCAGGTAAGATAAGGAGACAGCAGGTAAAGCAAGGAGATATCAGCTAGCTCAAGGAAGCAGCAGCTAAAGCAGAAGGCGAGGTATTTGTACCGGTAAGCGCGAGGACAAAGGCAGACCCAATGGCCAGCTGGAGGACCCTATGGCTGAGGGCGAAGTGGAAGAGGAGACGAGGAAAGAGAGAAAAGCGTGCATGCAGCAGACGGCCCCAGCCCAGGAGCTGCCCCCCAACCATAAGAGCAAGAGACAAACCACCCTTGGCCGCCACGCGGCGGCAGACAGGAGAGGAGACACCTTTTGCATGCGACGCCTCTAGCGCCTGCAGCAAAAGAAGCTCCTTGGGGCTGTATGCGCAGCAGCCGCTGCCATCGCCTACGCAGTCCGCTGCTCCCCATGAATACACCGAGCCCTGAGGAGACAGGAGGAGACAACAACGGCCCCATTGGCCCTCCCCTGAAGAGGAGACACTAAACAAGGAGGCACCTAAACCACTGAAGAGCCACAAAACAAGCATGGGCGCTGCACGAACGGCACGCACCCCGGCCAAGGGCAGCAGGGAAAGATAGAGAAAGAAGGGAGCCACGGAGACAGAGAAGGAGACACTTAGATGGATAGGCGCGGACTTAGATGAGGAGACAGACAAAAAGGGAGACAGAGACACACAGAAGCAGAAGCAACACAGCAGCAACGCAAGGAAGAGACAGCAGCCGCACTAACGACATGAGGACATCAAGGCTAAGAGGAGACAAAGAGGGGGGAAATGAATAAACGGAGACAAATACAGGAAGAGACAGCCGCCTGCACCCATTTTTGCTTCCAGTCTCGTGCTGTCTCTGTCTCCTGTACTTAGTGGCATTCACTGGGGAGAGAACGGCCGACACAGACAGAGACAGATAAAAACAGAAGAGAGCAACAGACAAAGAAACTCGGAGGTACGGAGACATACAAAGGAGAACAAAGACAGAGAGAGACAATAAAAAACAGGAGGAAGAGAAAGAGAGGGAGAGGGAGAGAGAGAGAGAGAGAGAGAGAGAGAGAGAGAGAGAGAGAGAGAGAGAGAGAGAGAGAGAGAGCGAGAGAGAGAGAGAGAGAGAGAGAGAGAGAGAGAGAGAGAGAGAGAGAGAGAGAGAGAGAGAGAGTAAGCGAGAGATACAGAGAGAGAGACAGAGAGAGAGACAGAGAGAGAGAGAAACAGAGAGACAGACAGACGCATACATGCAAGACAGAGGGAGACTGAGACACACGAAGACTGGCAGAGACAAACAGAACGGAGACAGACACAGAAACAGTCGCAGAGGCGGAGACACAAGCAGAGACAGGAGAAGAGAGGGAGACAGAGAGAAGGAAGGGAGAAGGGACAGACACGAACGGAGACAGAGACAGCACGGCAGCTGATTCTAATACAGAGGCAAAGGCAGAGACAGAAGCAAGAAGAAACAAAAACAAAGACAAGACAGAGGGCCTTCACCTGTTCAGTTAATGCAAGCGAGTGATAGTCCCCCACTGCAATCTGTACAACATTGTCTCTAAATCCCTCAACACGCTCCGGCTGCTTCGCTAGCAGGCGCACCGGCCCTAGGCCGAGCTGTCCGTACACCCCATTACCGTAAGCAAACACCTTCCCTCTATCTGAGAGAAATAATGCATGCACTTCCCCAGCCCCAACCTCAACAATACGAACATCAGCAAGAGAACGCAGCACGACAGGCTGGCAAAGAGAGCCGCCTTCATCGTTGGGGGCCCTCCGGGGCCCCGAGGGACCCCCAGGGGGGCCCCCAATGGGGGCCCCCGGGGGGCCCCCAACAGCCTCGCCTCCTCCCTCCCCCTTCAGAAGACGCCGACCCCAAAGGTATATAACTGTTCGAGTGTCTCTAAACGTTGGCTCCACCACTGCGGAAACGCAACACCAAACCCTAAACCCTAAACCCTAAACCCTGAGCCCTGAACCCTAAATCCTAAACCCTAAACCCTAAACCCCACAGCCTGCTTCTAATCAATAAAGGGAGCAGCGAGGAGACTTACGCGCATCGGTGGAGACTACTGGGACGCAGTCCTCGCTGAGAGGCTGCAGAGATGAAGACAAACAAAAGACAAAGAAAATACATACAATATAGCAGACACAACAAACAACAGAAAAAACAAAGACAAAAGAATTATAACAAAGACAAACAAATAATAACCAGGGCAAAGACAAATGCATCGTAGCAAAGACAAACAAACCAAGGAAGGCAAACACAAACAAAGAATGACGAAGACAGGCAAATAATCAGGAAGAGACAGGGAACTGCCTCGCGAGAAACCCTTCTGCTGCTCCCGCTGCCGCTGCTGCTGCTGCTGCTGCCGCTGCTGCTGCTGCTTACCCCTACGTCTTCTGTGGAGCGGCCGGCGCAGGGAATGAGCCGCCTCATTAGCCGGACGACACAAGGGCCCCTAGGAACTTGAAGAGGGCCCCCCAATACCCAGAGGGGCCCCCTAAGATTCCGAGGGGCCCCCTAAGACTCCGAGGGGCCCCCTAAGACCCCAAGGGGCCCCCTAAGACTCAAAGGGGCCCCCAAAGACTGAAAGGGGCCCCCAAGGCCTTATACCTTTATAGAGAGATATAAAACAGCAAGAATGTCGTAATAGCTGACGCCGCACGATAAGATATAGAAGGCATATAGAAGATAGAGAAACCTCAGGGGCCCCTTGTTGTGCTGCTCCGCCTTTGAATGACTTCGTCTGCCCCTGTAAAAGAAACGAATCCTGTCGTTAACTGTCGCTGCAGCAGCAGCAGCTGCTGCTGTTGTTGTTGCAGGTTCTATTCGGTTACCTGCAGGTGATGATGCGGCTGCTGCTGCTCCTGCTGCTGTTGTTGCTCCTCTGCTGCCGTTGGGGGATATGGAGGCGAAAAGATTAAGCAAAAAATATTGCTTAAAGAGAGAGATTGTTTAAGAGTAGACAACGCCACCTGGGCTGTCTAGACAGCCTGTCTCCGTTGTGTCTCTTGCAGGAGACACTGTCTCCTCTATTACTCCTTTGCGTCTCCTCGCGTTTCGCCCTCTCTGAGTGATCCGCATCAAGGTACCAGCAGCAGCAGTTGCTGCTGCTGCTGTTGCCTTTGCTGCTGCTGCTGCGGCTGGGGCTGCTAGCGATGCGGATGGGGTAGCAGCCGGCGCCGCTGCTAAACTGCTGCTGCTGCTGGTGTTCGCACAGCAGGACAGGCCTCGTCTCCCCTGCTGGAGCAGCAAGGAGGCCTTGCTGCAGCAGCTGAGGCTTGTGTTAGCAGCAGGTGCCGCTACAGCTCCCGTGAGCAGCAGCAGCAGCACAGAGAAAGGAGCCCCTTTATGCATGCACACCTCCAGCGTGACTGCTAAACCAAGTAGTAAAGAAGAAGGAGAAGCAGAAAATACTGCTGCAGGAAGCAGAGACCAGAGGGTTTGAAGAGAGAAGCAACAAGAAGTATTAGGGGCCCCCTTGGTGCTGGGGCCCTCGCCGTGTGCATGCACGAGGAAACAGCAGGAGACATAGAGCAGTAGAGACGTAACGCTATTTGTTTTTATCCCTATAATACCTCTAGCCACTACAAATATCTTTGTGTTTAAATAAACATTTGCCTGTGCCTCCCCTAAGCAACTCTGGTCAACCAATCGCTGCAGCAGCAGCAGCAGTAGCAGCAGCAGCAGCAGCAGCAACAGCAGCGCCTCTGTCGGTACGCAGCTCGAGGCCCCTGTGGCGGCTGTCTCCATCCTTGTGGTTTTCTGCTTGTTTTCGTTGAGGCATTATATATTTCTAGTTAGTTTTTAAGCTCAGCAATATAACAGGTTATCAGAAGGATACTTCAGGTGTATGTACACCTCAGCCTACGGTGCCTTCTGCGCTACAGCTGCGGGGCCCCTCGCGTTGGGTTTTCCGCCTTCTCCGTGCATGCATGCAGCAGCAGCAGCAGCAGCAGATAGCCTTTAAGGTTTAAGGAGGTCTTGTGCTTGCCTGTGTTCTCTGGGAGTTCTCTGGGCCGTCTGCAGCAGCAGCAACAGCAGCAGCAACAGCAGCAGCAACAGCAGCAGGAGAGCGGCAACCATACATTCTCATCAGCGGACGCTACGTTTAAGGCAAGATGGCGGGGGAGATGGAGACTGACGGAAGCACAGCAGCAGGAGCAGCAACAGGAGCAGCAGCAGCTGCATACGTGTCTCCTTGTGCTGTCCCTTTACTTGAGGGCAAGGCCTTCAGGAGGGCCCTGCGATTAATAAAGGGTGTTGCTGCAACAGAGCGTCTGAGCCGCGCTCGTTCAAAGGGGGAGAATAAAGAGGGAGAAAAGGATAAAAGCAGAGACCAAAAGGCTGAGCAAGAACGAAAAGGGAGAAGGCCTTTAAAGCTGCTACAGCGGGGTGTACACGAAGTAACGAAGGCTATACGTAAGGGAGGGAGGGGTATGGTGTTTATTGCTTCTGATGTATACCCTATTGAAATAACTGCGCATCTGCCTGTCTTATGCGAAGAAAAGAATATACTTTATGCTTATCTTTGCCCTAAAAAAACATTAGGCTATGCATTCGGCTCGAAGAGACCAGCTAGCGTTATTATGTTAGCTCCCCCCCCATCCGGAGCTGTACATACACCCCAAGACACTCAAGAAGAAACAACAGAAGACCTAGAAGAGATGTACAACAAACTCGAAAAAATCATCCGCAAAAACCACCCCTATATGTAAAGGGCTGCAAACCCTAAACCCTAATCAACAACACCCCCTTAAACCCTAAACCCTAAAACTATAAATCCAACTAAACCCTAAACCCTAAGCGACGCAAATCAAACGAACTAAATATATTTTATGGGGTTGCTCCGCCTAAAGTGGGGAAAAATTTAGCTGTCTCCTGGAAGGAGACAGAAGGAGACACCCTAGAAACTGCACAACAGTTACTGCGGTGTATGTACACCTCAGCACGGGGCCTGGAGGCATAAGGAGGGCCCTCCGTCTCCAGCAGAGGGAGACGCACCACAACAAACTTAATTGTCTTTTATATGAATGAATAACTTGCAAGGGAGACGTAGAAATCAGCGACTGGGAGACAGAAGGATTAAGAGACAAACAGATAAGCAGAGATAGAGTAGATAGGCAGAGACAGACGAAATAACAGACAGACACACACAAGGAGAGATAGAGAAGGAGACAGGGGGAGGCAGAAGAGGTAAGAGATACAAATTAGAAAGAAATAGAGGAGACAGGGAGAGACAGCAGACAGGCAGATAAGCAGAGTTAGAGAAGGAGACAGGGAATAGGAGACAGACAGAAAAACAGAGATAAAGAATGTGTGCACGCAGGAGACAGAAGAAACAACAGAGACACCAAAAGATCCAACGAAAGGGGGTGCAGACAGAGTGGAGACACATAAATAAACAGCATAAACAAATAAGCAGCGCTAAGGAGGAAAGACAGACAACAGCAAAAAAAAAAATAAACGGAGACACTGCCTATAGACACACAGAAACATGTGGGGCCCTTCAGCTGCATGCAAGTAGCAGCTTTAAGGGCCAACGAAAGGAGCAGAGATGAGTGCATGCATGCAAAAAGAAAGGAAGCAGCTGCAGATACTGTGGGGAGGAGGCAAAGCGATCCCAGCTCCCGATCCCAGACATTCCTGCTGCTGTTGCTGCCAAAGCTACTCCCGTTACTACTGCTAAAACTGCCATTGCTGTAGCTGCTGCTGCAGCTGGCGTTGCTGCAGCTGGTGCTGCTGCAACTGGTGCTACTGCAGCTGGTGCTGCTGCAGTTGGTTCTACTGCTGCTGTTGCTGCTGCAGCTGTTGCGTCTGCTGCTGGTTACGCGCGCATGCCTCGTGTGTCTCCTTTTGCGCCAGGCTGCACGGTGTTCAAGAGGAGACGGTAGGCCTCAGAGCTGCTGAGGTCCTTCCCCCCCGCTGTAGCCTGCTGCTGCTGCTGCTGCTGCATCATCTTTGACGTTACAGATGAGCCATAGGCGTACACCAGGGCCCCCAATACAGCCTAAGTGTAGAAAAAGGAGACAAAAGACGCAAAAAGGATACAGGCAAGGCAGCATAAAAAGGAGACATGCTGCAGAATCAGAGACAAAGGAGTGCATGCACATGAAGCTGCATATAGAAAAGGAGACAGAGATAAAGCAGCGAGAGACAACGAGAGACAGCCTCATAAGAGAGAGGAGACACAGGGAAATGCAGAAGAAATACACAAAAAAGTAGAAAAGGAGACAAATGAATTAGTCATCACGGAGACAAGGAGACACACAGGGCGACACCAGACGAAGAGAGACAAGAAACAATTCGAAGGTCTAGGGTTTAGGGTTTAGGGTTTAGGTCGCAGGCACCACGCAAAGGGAATGTAAACAACCACAGCTACAAGCAATGCTATAAACAAACAAACAAACAAACAAACAAACACAGAAGCAGCTGCTGGCGGAGAAGACAAGTGGAGACAGAATAAAGAGCAAGCAACAAACATCAGTAAAGCGAGGCGTAGAAAGAATTAAAAAGAAAAGAGAGACACCGAAAAAGGAGACACAAAACAACACTCACGACTGATGCAGCCAACGCCTTCGTGGGGCTGAGACATTGCGCAGTCTGTCGATGACAGAAAAATAAATGTGATAATATAATCACCAAAGCCATCCGTACAGCCTGCAGCAGACACAGACAAAGACACACAAACCTCCAGCAGCAGCAGCAGCAGCAGTAGCAGCTATCGAACGGCAGCAACAGCAGCCAGTGGTGCAACGGTAGCACCACCAGGAACCAAAAGAACAGCTGCAGCAGCAGCAGGCATAAGAGCAGAAACAGCAGCAGCAAAAGAAAAGTTAAGTGGCGAAGAGCAGCAACGGCAGGTTGTTGCTTGATTTCAGGTGTCCATACACCGCGTATAAGGAGTTTCTCACCTTAAGCACGCCTGCGGAGACAGAGCCTAAATGCTTTAAGATAACCCACAACACCCCCGAGCGAATGAGAGAACAAACAAAGAGGCCCATATAACAAGCCCCGAAGATCTGTTCAGGAGACATCAAAAGGAGACAAAAGAGACAGAGAAACGCTTTCAGGAACTGTCTCCTTAGGACACGCACGAGGAGACATGCAAAAGGAGACATGCGGACACTCCGCTGCAGACACCGGGAGACAGCCACCTCAGGCAGCCCAAAACGCAGTAAATACCCCGCAGATGAACAACTGTCTCCTCAACAGGAGACAAGCAACACTACACAGACTCTAAAAGCAAGAAGAAGCTGCTTCCTCTGCTCTGCAGCAGCAGGACATCAGGCGCCAAGCGGCCGTAAGGAGACACCAGCGAAGAGACAGTCGGCAGCACAGGTGAGAGACAAGGAGATAGGGAGAGAAGCTATGGCTCAGGGTTTAGGGTTTAGGGTTTAGTTCAGTCTACACACAAGCGGAGACCCTCCTTGTCTCCTCCTGGGATCGTTAATGAGGCGATCCCAGCGAGGGATCGTCCAGACGACAGTCCATAGAAGGAGACAGGCGGTGTTGATAGCCCTGGAGACAGAGACAAAGACAGAGAGGAGACAGCTGCAGAGACACTCTAGCAGCTGTCTCCTAAGACGGCAAACCAAGGGCATCTGCATGTAATGGAGACAGCAGCAAAAGCAGCAGACCCAGTTCTAGCCGTTGAGGGGAGGTGTACAGAGGAGGTGTACAGACACCTGAGGTACCCACCCGCACATAAAGACAAGCTCAGGGCCCTCAATGCCATCCTTTGTGTCTTTCATGTACTTCTCGCTCAAGACAAAGGCCAGGCCGTGCTGCAGAGACAGAAAAAGGAGACAGGAGACAATGCGTGCGCTTGCAACGGACAGGAGACAGCCGCCATCGGGGGGGCCTCGCACAGGCTGAGGAGACAGCCGAGGAGACTCGTAACAAAGACAAACAAGAGGAGACACAAGACAGACGGCACGGGACCCTATGGGCCCTCCCAGAGCGAAGAATAAGAGAGAGAGGAAGAGCAAACAAGGAGGAGACAGGAGACAGACAGCCCTAGGAGACAGGAGACACTCTGAATAGACAGGAGACGCTCTGAGGAGACAGCAGACAGCCTGTGGACGCAGGAGACAATCTATGAGAAAGGAGACAGTTCCATTAGAGAAGAGACAGACTGAGGAGAGAAGGAGACAGTCTCAGGAGGCAGCAGGTAGCCAGAGGAGGGAGGAGGCAACACCCAAGGGAGACAGCCAACAGCCTTAGGAGACAGGAGACAGTCTGAGAGGGAGGAGACAATAGGCTGAGGAGACAGTAGAAAGAAAGACCTGGCTTACAAGGATCTGGGCGACAGTAACAAGGGCCACCCCGAACAGCTCCTGAGCCACGTGGGGCCCCACAGCATCTGCTGTCCCCTCGAGCTCAGCAACACGGAGACAGAAGCCTGCAACAACTCCTAAGAGGCCCAGCCACTGAAGAGGAGACAGCCGACGCCCCAGAAGAAGAAGAGACAGTAGGGCCACCCACACGAGAGACAAACTCGCGGCCATCAAATATAATACACCCCCCGCGTACACCAGACCCGCTGAACAGAGATACACACAAAGAGGAGACACCTATTAAGGCAAACATCTAAGACGGAGAAAGGAGACACCCGTAAGGCAGACAGTGGTACAGACAGAAAGAGGAGACACCCCCCTAAGGCAAACGTCAGAGACAGAGCAAGGAGACACCCTCAGGCAGACAATACAGACAAACCACTAAACCCTCAACTAAACCCTCAGCTAAGCCCTTTAGGGTTTAGGGTTTGGGATGAACGCGTATATATATATGCATATATATATATATGTATACGCATGTGTATATTTATATAGGAGCAATAGACCTATTGAACAAGCAAGGAAGAGACAGCAGAGGGGACAGAAGAATGAAATACCCTTTTCTAGAATCTGGTGAGCCAAGTCTGCAAGACAAAGAAAAGAGGCCCTTCGCCAGTGGCGAAGAGACAGTCTCCTTTTGTCTTTGCATGTGAAGCAACCCACGAGGAGCATTGCCCCAAAGACAGGCAGCACGAAGAGACACGCTGTCGGCTGTACGTACACCCCAAGCGCAAGACACAAAAGGAGACAATAAATATCTTATCTATGAGAAAAGGAGACAAAGCCACACAAAGAAAAGAAAGGAGACACTAGCGATGTACCAGCCACAGGGAAGAGAGACAGTAATCAAACGAAAAACAGCAAAAGGAGACACAAACAAACAAATGCATAAACAGCACAAATAAAGACACACAAAGAAACACATAAGCAGAAAAGAGCCCCGAAGAAGCACCGAGAAAAAGAGACAAAGAGACAACCCACACATACATTTATGCGATCATGCATGAAAATCCATGCACATGCATGCATGCAAGTGCATGCAAGTGCATGAAAATGCATGCACGTAAATGCATGCAAGTGCATGCATGCAAGTGCATGCAAATGCATGCACGTAAATGCATGCATGTGAATGCATGCATGCAAATGCATGCATTCAAGTGCATGCATTCAAATGCGTACAAATGCATGAGGAAGCATGCAAGTGTAAATGCATGCAAATGCATGCAAATGCATGCAGCATGAATAGGCTTACATCTGCAGCGCCATGGTAGCGCGAGAGGTCTGCTAGAAGAGGCTGCGCTGTACCGACAGCAACAACGAGGAAGGAGTTAAGAAACAAAGAGGAGACAGATCTCATCCTGTTGAGGAGACAAAAAGAGACAGAGAAATATAATAATAAAGCAGACAAAAGATATAAAGGCTAAGCTAAGGAGACAGACGAGGAGACAGAAGGAGACAGGCGAGGAGACAAAAGGAGACGGACATGGAGACAAAAGGAGACACACAAGCAGACAGAAGGAGACACACAAGGAGAATAAAGAAAATAAAAGAAACAAGAGAAGACAACCACAGACAGGGGCAGACAAAAGGAGACACACTGGGAGGCAAAAGGAGACAGAGCAGGAGACAGAAGGAGACACACAAGGAGACAAAACCAGCCAAACAAAAGGAGGAGACAGACGCAAAGAAAAGAAATACAGAAAGGAGACGGACATAAAGGAGACGGACAGATGAGGACAAAGACAAGGAGACAAACAGAAAGTGTGGCAAAGGATAGTAGCAGACAAATGAAAAAGGAGACAAGATAAAAGATAGAAGGAAGATAAGTGTCTCCTTCTGTCTCCTGTGTCTTCACTGTCCGTCTCTGTTTGCCTCTTACTCTTACCTAGTGCTGCTGCTGCTGTAAGAATCTGTAGCCTGTTACGTTGTTGCTGCAGCTGGTGAAGCTGCTGCTGTTGCTGCTGCTGCTACTGCTCTTGCTTCTGTTGCTGCTGTTGCTGCTGTTGCAGCTCTTGCTTCTGTTGCTGCTGTTGCTGCTGTTGTTTGTTGCGGTAGCAACAGCAGCAGCAGCAGCTGCTGCTGCTCCGGTTGCTGCCGTCGCAGCTGCTGCAGTCTCTGTCCCTTGTTTATGTGGAGGAGACACTTGCAGCCTCTTGAGGTGTACAGGCAGGTGTGCGCAGCAGAAAGGAGACAGCAGATGATATGTGTCTCCTGGGCAAAGGATGTGTCCCCTTGTAGGGGGACAGGAGGAGACAGACAAAGACACGCAGCAGCAATACACCCCACAAAGTGTTGCTCTTATGCTGCTAAAGGAGACACCTGCTGCTGTCTCCTTCGTCTTCTCGCTGCTGCTGCTCTGCTCTGGGGCTGCGGCTGCTCAGTTGCCTCCTGGCTCCCACGCCAAACCTCAAAAACCCTAAACCCTAAACCCTAATCAAAAGTATTATTGAGTTGTATTAAGCTAAAGAAGGCTTCAAACTTGAGCAGCAGCTACTGGACCGCAGCGTGTGTGGGGCCCCCGGGGGCCCCTGCGAGCCCGCTTTGTGTGGTATTGGCAGCAGAGGTGTCTCCTGCTGCTGTCTCCTTTCAGGTGTATAGGCAGCTCCTCTCTCTTCGCACATTGCTGCTGCAGCAATGCCAAGGGGGGGACACAGAGGAGGCATTTATCCTGTCTCTGGCCTCCCTTGGGGCCCCGGCCAGCGCTACCTCAAGCGCGGGCTGTACATACGCCAGAGAAGAGACATCTTTGTCCCCAGGTAAAGACACCCCACACACAAGAGGGGCTCCAACGCACAGTGTAAACTCTAGGGGCCCCCCTCATCAAACATAAGGGCCCAACAAAAGGGGGCCAGAACAGGGGCCCCAGAGAAGGGGCCCCACAGGAGCGACAGCGGAGGAGTGACAGCAGAGGGGTATCTCAGGGGGGCCCCTCCGAGGAGGCCCAAAGGGCCCCTCATGAGGGTTCCAAAGGGCCCCCCAAAGGGCCCCCCAAAGGGCCCCCAAAGGGCCCCCAAAGGGCCCCCAAAGGGCCCCGCAGAGGGCCCACAAGAGGGGCCCCAGAGGGGCACCAAAGGGCCCTCTAGAGGGCTCCCAAAAGGCTCCCCTTTAGGGCCCCTCAGGGGCCCCAAAGGGCCCCGTAGAGGGCCCCCAGAGTTGGGGCCCCTATTGGGGTGTTGTGCTTGGGGGCGTGTATTGTTTTCGAAGGGGTGAAGGGGTTTGCATGCAAAGGGCTTTGTTGTGGTTTGCATGCAGATGGGGCTGGCGGCGTGAGGCTTTTAATCCGTCTCCTCTCCCAGATGGCAGCACTAAAACCTGGGAGGCAGACAGCGATAGGGCCTGGCCCGTGCAAGGTATGCCCGCCATACACCAAAGACTAGCTAGCTAGCTAGCTAGCTGGCTGTCTAGCTAGCTAGCTAGCTGGCTAGCTGGCTGGTTAGCTAGCTGGATGGCTGTTTAGCTAGGTAGCTGGCTGGTTAGCTAGCTAGCTGGCTGGCTGTTTAGCTAGGTAGCTAGCTGGCTGACTATTTAGTTAGTTAGCTAGCTAGCTAAATGGCTGTAGGATTTAGGGTTTAGGGTTTAGGGTTTAGGGTTTGGCTTGTTTGTTTTGAAGTGTTTGTTTTGGTGTAGGGGTGCAGCGCCACCTGCAGATGTACGCCCGCAATGCCGCACGTTACTTGCAGCCGGCGTTGCGGTGTACGTACACCCCAGCAGCGGAGTATATCTTAGAGATGCTGGAGCCTTCTGCTGCTAGAGGCCGCATCTTTAGTGGTATTGGCTGTTCTGGGTTTGAGGGTTTAAGGCCTAAGGAGACAGCAGGGCCTTCAGGTGTCTCCTCAGTGTCTCCGCCCGTCCCCCTTACCCTTCTTAATGCGCTGCAGCAAGTAGAAGCAGAAAAAGGAGACACCCCGGTGTCTCTCCGCCGCCTGCCGTTTCTTGAGCAAGGAAGGTAACGTAACACAAATAGGGTTTAGGGTTTAGGGTTTAGTGTTTTTTCAAGGTTTTGTTTTAAGGTTCAGCGATCTACGGGCTGTTATTAGGGCTTGATGGTTTAGGGTTTTTGGGTGTGTTGTTTAGGGTTTAAGAGTGGGCTTTAGGGTGTTTTGCTCACCTTTAGCTTGGAGCTTTAGAACTAGGGTTTAGGGTCTAGGGCTTAGGGTTTAGGGTTTAGGGTTTAGGGTTTGTGTGCCTTCTCAGGATCCGTCGTTTATGGAGTGTGGCTGTGGAGGCAGATATATGGCGTGGTTGGCCTTGGGGGGCGAGGAGACAGCAGCAGAGTGCGCAGCAGTCTCCGTTAGCTGCTGCTGCAGCCTCTGCGTCTGCTGCTGCTGCTGCTGCTGTGCTTGAGCTGCCCCTCGCCGAGTGTCTCTACGCCCGCAGCAACCACAGACTCAACTCAAGGAGACACCCCTATTGGCTGCATCTGCGTCACCTAAAAGACAAAAGCAAAATACCTTATCTACACAGGTACGCCTCAACAACAGCAGCAGTAGCAGCGGCTGCTGCAGCAGTTGCTGCAGCAGCAGCAGCAGCAGCAGTTCATGTGCTGCTGCACATGCAGCAGCAGCGCCAGTTTGTGTACAGCACCAGCAGCAGACGCTTATGTGCTGCTACTCCGGCAGAGTTGATATGCTGCTGCTCTTGCTGCAAATTATCTGCTGCTTAAACAGCAGCAGCTCATAAGCCACCTGCCGCCGCAGCAAATGCAACAGCAGCAGCAGCAACAAGCTAGCGACGGGCACCAGCAGCAAATCCTTCAATAGAAGAAGCACCGAGCAGCGTAGTGAAGCAGCCGCAGCAGCATAAACAGCAGCAGCAGCTGCTGCTGCTTCCTCTGTGTGTATGTGGGCCTGCAGGAGACGCGTGGCAAGAGAGAAAATGTATGAGGAGACAATCGGCGCACTCAACGCCTGACGGCAGCAGCAGCAGCAGCATTACTGCAGCAGCAGCAGTACTGCGGCAGCAGCAGCAACAGTACTGCAGCAGCAGTACTGCAGCAGCAGCATGCGGCAACCTATGTGCTTGCGGCTGCTGCTGCTGCTGCAGCAAAGCAGCAGCAGCACGCTGCACCCTGTGTGTTGCTGCAGCTGCTGCAACACCGCACGACTGTTTGCAGCTAACTATCTGTTTATTTGGTCTAATCATATTTCTGTCTGATCTCTTACGCATTATTTTATAAAGGTGCGGGGCTGAGGTGTACGTACACCAGGAGGAGACGCTTAGTCCTTTTCATTCTAAGACAATATCTGTAGGGAGACAGCTTTAAACCGTAGCAGCAGGATAACCATATATATATATATATATATATATATATATATATATCACACTAAAAGCAGACAATTGAGGGGAGACATCAGGACCTGAAGAGACACTTCTTTGCCTTGAGAAAATAAAAACCCTCATCAGCTCTTGGCAACTGTCTCTCTTTCGCTCTCTCTCTCTCTCTCTCTCTCTATATATATATATATATATATATATATTCTTATGTATGTAGGCGTGTATTTACTTATATATATATATATATATTTCTTAGTTATTTATTATGCATGCATGTGTATATTACACTCACAACAGGGGGCTTCACGGGGTTTCTAGCGGTTTGTTAGTCCTTCTCGCTCTTTAGCATCTGTCTCCTTTGTTCTGTTGAGAAGAAATCTCTATATTTATTAAGACAACGAAGTGTCTCTAAACCCGCTGAAGTGTCTCCTTAACTATCTGCTCTGCATGTGTTGCTCTTTTTCTCAATCCCGGTGTCTCTAAACACACAATACAATTACATAAAATAATACTCTATAAGGCCCAAGAGCATACGCTGTCTCTGTGAGAAAAGCTAAATACGTCATCTACACAGGTACGCCTCAACAACAGCAGCAGGAGCAGCGGCTGCTGCACCAGTTGCAGCAGCAGCAGCAGTTTATGTGCTGCTGCGCATGCAGCAGCAGCTGCCTGGCTCACTTTACTATTTTCGCTTGCTTTTCCTCTCCTCTATTCTTTTCTGTCTCCTTTTGCCTCCTGTATGTCTCTTTTTGTCCCGTTTCATCTCTCTTATCGACTTTCTACATTATATATCTATATACATCTACATTATCTATCTATCTACATACATATATATATATATATATATATATCAAGAGGGACGTACCCACGTATTTACATACACACGGGCCTAC